GCCTAGTCAGGGCTGGAGAGGTGGAATGGTCAGGCCGGCCGTAGGGTTCTATAATGACCATTCGGTGGTACCTCTAGCAGTTCCCAGGACAGGATTCCCCAGGGCGCGGAGTCTAAGTCCCAGTCTGCTTATTCACCAGGGCCCCTGATGGTGGGGATGGACTTGGAGCAGACAGGAACCAGGTCGCGGCCCCTGAGTACCCCTGCTCGTGGTAGAGGGATCCGCCAGAGGTATGTGCAGGTAGAAAGCCTGATGTGAAGAGGCAGAAGGTGTGAGCAGGGACAGCTGGATCCGTGCAGGATGGATGGATGGCAGAGTAGCTAGCGTGGTCAGATGGGTCAGGTCAGCAACGTGCGGGCAGCGAGGTACCGAAGGAGCAGGCAGAGAATGGTCAGGGTCACAAGCCGGGTTCAGTAACTCACGGGCAGCGCGGTACAAAGGATCAGGCAGAGAATGGTCAGGGTCACAAGCCGGGTTCAACAGGAGACGATCAGCAGAGGTCAGGATCAAGCAGGGTCAGCAACGAGGCAGGAACACAAGATACCAGGTACAGGGGCTCATGGGAAAACATACACTAAGGCCCAGATCACAGGCCTGGTCATGCCTTACATACACCTTCTGCAATCAGCCCCAGGTTTGGCTGATTGCAGGTGTGAGCTTCTGGCTGCTGAGAGCACCCGCTGTTCAGCTCTGGTACTGCAGCCCACACGGCAGGTGAGTCCCACCACCAGTGCTGAGTCCATTCCTGACAGGAAATAAGGTGGGTGCAAGCAGCGCGAGAACTAGAGGTATGTGGGAAGGGCTGCGGTGGGGGCAGTTACAAGCAGCGATCTCCTGTATGGCTTTCAATGAAGCAGCTGGAAGCGGCAGGAGGGAGAGGAGAGTAGGCTTCCAGCTGCTTCATTGAAAGCCATAAAGGAGATCGCTGCTTGTCACCACACCCACTGCTGCACAACCCACTGCTGAACCAACATACCTGATGGTTCAGTTTTCTTTCTTCCTCCCCTCCCCCGCTGTGTTCTTCTCAGTGCCCAAACCCTCCCTCCATCCTCCTCACTATTAGCAGAAGAAGAGGGGAGAGAGGCTGGATCTGCACTGCCTCCCCATGTGCCCATCCACACTCCAGTCTGTGCAGCTTCAGAGGAGGTGTGGGCGGGAAACTGAACACAGAGCAGCCGACAGCTCTGATGCTTCTTACTGGTGATGTAAGTCCAACCTCAGTTCCTTCCACCCCTTCCTTCCTTCCTTCCTTCCTTCCTTTCACCCTTCCTTCCACCCACCCCTCCCTTCCTTACTTCTTTTCTTTCACCCCTCTCTTCCTTCCTTCCATCCACCCCTTCCTTCCTTCCTTCCTCCTCCTCCCTTCCTTCTTTCCACTCCTTCCTTCCACCCCTCCCTTCCTTCTTTCTTTCCACCCCCCCCCCTTCCCCCCCCCTCCCCTTTCCCTCCACCCTCCCTTCCTTCCTTCCTTCCCTCCACCCCTTCCTTCCGCCGCTCCCTTCTACCCCTCCCTTCCTTCCTTTCCTCCCCCCCCCCCCCCCCTTCCTTCCTTCCATCCCTCCCCCTACCCCTCCACCCACGCTCCCTTTCTTCCTTCCACCCCTCCCTTCTTTCCTTCCTTCTGTGACAGGAGTGACTTTGGGTGGGGGGCCCCCCCCCACAGCTCACTTTGGACCCCCCCCCCCCCCCCCCTGTCTCTGCCTGTTAGGGGTGCAGGGTGATATGTCCTAATATTGTGTAGACATGTATAGGTGGGGAGGAGGGGTTGTGGATCCCCCCCCCCCCCCCCATGTGGTTGCTCCCCCCCCCCCATTCCCCTATTGTGTGTCTTGCTTGTGAGCAAACTATTATGGGATGTATGTGTTTGTGTGTATTGGCCCCCCCCCCCCCCCGGCAGCCCTTCCCCCCCCCCCCTGTCTGCTGGTGTATCTCTTGTTTCTGGGTGTGGATTGTCCCACCCTGTGTCATTATGTGGGGAGGGGTAATTACCCCCCCTTGAATGTATATATCTTGTATCTGTGTTAAAATAAAGTAGTCCCCCCTGATTTATTTCAAGGCTGGTCCCCCCCTAGTCCCGTATGATCCCCCCCCCCGTGGTAGGTGTTTGGACAGGGAAGCCCCCCCCCCCCCCCCAAGTGCCCCCGGGGTCGGTTCTGTTACCCCCTTCCCCCCTCTCTTCCCCCCTTCCTTCCTTCCCCCCCTTCCCCCCTTCCTTCCCCTCTCCCTTCTACCCCCCCCTTCCTTACGTCCCCCCCCCCTTCCTTTTCCCTTCCTTCCTTCCTTCCTTCCCCCCCCCCCTTCCTTCCTTCCCCCCTCCCTTCCCCTTCCCCCCCCCCCCCCCCCTCCCCCCCCCCCCCCCCCCCCCCACCCACCCCCCCCCCCCCCCCCCCCCCCCCCCCCCCCCCCCCCCCCCCCCCCCCCCCCCCCCCCCCCCCCCTTCCCCCCCCCCCTTCCCCCCCCCCCCCCCCCCCCTACCCCCTCCCCCCCCCCCCCTCCTTCCCCCCCCCCCCCCCCCCCCCCCCCCCCCCCTCCCCCCCCCCCCCATCCCCCCCCCCCCCCCTACCCACCCTTCCTTCCCCTCCCCCCCACTTCCCCTTCCCCCCCCCTTCCACCCCCCCCCCCCCCCTCCCCCCCCTTCCCCCCTTCCCCCCCCCTTCTTTCCCCATCCACTCTTCCCCTCCCCCCCCCCCTCCCCCCCCCCTCTTCCCCCCCCCCCCCTTTCCTTCCCCCCCCCCCCCCTCCCCCATCCCTTCCCCCCCCCCCCCCCCCCCCCCCCCCCCCCCCCCCCCCCCCCCCCCCCCATCCCCCTTCCCCCCCCCCCCCCCCCCCCCCCCCCCCCCCCCCCCCTCCCCCCCCCCCCCCCCCCCTTCCATCCCCCCCCCCCCCCCCCCCCCCCCCCTTCCCCCACCCCCCCCCCCTTCCCCCCACCCCCCCTTCCCCCCCCCCCCCCCCCCCCCCCCCCCCCTTCCCCCCCATCCCCCCCCCCCTTCCCCCCCTTCCCACCCCCCCCCCCTCCCCTCCCCCACCCCCCCCCCTTCCCCCCCCCCCCCCCCCCCCCCTTCCTTCCCCCCCCCCTCCCTCCCCCCCCACCCCCCCCCTTCCCCCCCCCACACCCCCCCCCCTTCTACCCCCCTTCCCCCCCCCCCCCCCTCTCCCTTCCTTCCACCCCCTCCCTCCCCCCTTCCTTCGTTCCCCTCCCCCTTCCCCCCCCCCCCTTCCTTCCATCCACCCCCCCCTTCCTTCCACCCCCCCCCCCCCCCCCCCCTTCCATCCCCATCCATCCCCCCCCCCTTCCCCCTTCCTTCCTTCCCTCCTTCCCCCCCCCCCCCCCCCCCCTATCCCCCCCACCCTTTCCCCCTTCCATCCACCCCTTCCTTCTTTCCACCCCACCCTTCCTTCCATCCACCCCTCCCTCCCCCCCTTCCTTCCTTCCACCCCACCCCCTTCCCTGCCTTCCCACCCCCCCCCCCTTCCTTCCGTCCTTCCCCCCCCCCTTCCTTCCTTCCCATCCCCCCCTTTCTTTCCCCCTTCCCCCTTCCCTCCTTCTTCCCCCCCCTTCCCTTCCCCCTTTCACCCCCACCCCCCCCCCATTCCCCCCTATCTTCCTTCCCCCCCCCCCCCCCTTCCCCCCCCCCCCCCCCCCCTTCCTTCCATCCACCCCTTCCTTCCGTCCATCCCCCCCTTCCTTCCTTCATCCTTCCTTCCCTCCTTCCTTCCCCTTCCTTCCCCCCTCTGTCCTCCCTTCACCCCCCACCCACACCCCCCCCCCCCCCCTTCCCTTCCACCCCACCCCCCCCCCTTCCTTCCTTCCCCCCCCCTCTCTTACTTCCATCCACCCCTTCCTTCCTTGCACTCTCCCTCTCTTTCTTCCATCCCCCCCTTTCTTCCTTCCACACACCCCTTCCTTCTATCCACCCTTCCTTCCATCCACCCCTCTCTTTCTTCCTTCAACCCCCCCCTCCCTTCTTTCTTCCCACCCCCCCCTTCCTTCCACCCACCCCCCCTCCCTCCCTCTCTTCCTTCCACCCCTCCCTCCCTTCCTTCCCCCCCACCCACCCCCTTCCTTCCTTCCACCCACTACTTCCTTCCACCCAGCCCTTCCTTCCTTCCATCCCACCTCCCTTCCTTCCACCCACCCACCCTTCCTTTCATCCACCCCATCTTCCTTCCATCCACCCCTTCCTTCCTTCTTCCATCCATCCACCCCTCCCTTCTTTCCACCCACCCTTCCTTCCTTCCACCCCACCCTTCCTTCATTCCACCCCTCCCAACAGTTATGTGCAGAGTAGAGGAAAGGGGAGGCATATTCCAGAGTCCTGAGCTCTCCGCTTCCCCTTACAGGGCAATGCCCGGCAGCGAGTGCAGTTACAATACTACAGATTCTAAAAAGGCTTTGTGTATGTGTGTATGTTAACATCCATGTGTGTGTACATTCTTACACTATTTTTAGTCCTCACCCCTAATTCTGTACAGTAAGAACTACTTTTTTTAGGGCTTTTTCACAATAGCACCAATGACCGTTGCTCCACTGAAAAGCAATTCATGCTCTTATCACTTTTCAAAGCCATTTGACAGGTGGTGAAGAGATGATATGTCACCTCCTCAATGCCTGTTTTACATCATAAATGCACTATGCCACAGCCGTAAGCAATGCAAACAGTTACAGGGAGGTCGCAGCGAGGCCCCATTCACTTGGAGGTAGACTTTATATCTTGGCCACATATTTACAACCTCTTCAGCTAAAGGGGAAGCAGTTGGGAGTGGTAAAAAAATGCAGCTCAAACTGTGTGGCTTTACTGTCCCACAACCTCATGTGTGAATGAGCCCTTGGATCACATCTCTGTGGCTGCATGTAGGGCAGCCAAATGACCTTAACACGCCATAAAAGAAGTAGTGGGGATAGTGGTGACATACGTTTCTAAATAAGGCAATGGCCATATTTGGGTAATATTATTATTAAAATATGATCAAGCGGTCACACAAGGGGCGGACTGACAACACATGGGGCCCCCAGGCAATAGGGGATCATGGGGCCCCTGTGTCCTTGCCCAAACTCAAAAAAAACTATGAAAAAGGTACTAGGGACAGCTCATGGGGCCCCCTACTGACCCCGGGCCCTCGGGCAGTGCCCGAGTTTCAAAATGGTCAGTCCGCCCCTGGGTTATACTGTATACTGTATATAGGCAATTATGTCACCCTCTATCCCGTCCCCTTTGCTTTTGTAGCCAGGGGTTCCTGACCATGTCAATAAATGGACTTAGTGATGTTAGTAGTTGGTAAGAACATGGCAGATACAAGCACCCACTGCTTCCATTGTAATTATTGACAGCAAGAAGCTGTCGCGTTCGTCCATGCCAAACATCCTAAATCAGTTTACCCCTACTCAGTATCAGATGGGTGGATATCAAACTTGCAGTACACTCTAGATAAACCTAAGAATATTACTGATCTAGAAGCCTTCACCATCAAATCATTCCTATGGCAAGAATACAAACTAACAGAGTGCCCAGATCTTTGCACAAGCCACATTTTATTTCTAGCCATTAAAATCAGTGGATGAATAGTAATTATATTACTGGCACAAACATTATGATTAATGTGTTTTGTATTTTAAAATGGACACAAGTCTCTTCCACCATATGTTAAATTATTTTATAACACAGAGCTAAATGACTGCCACTGTAAAATGCTTACCAAATAATCATGGTAAGTGCAATAACAACTATACTTGAACAGAATTATTATTATTAATATCCTACAGAGACTGTAGCTATATCCATGTATATATATTTATTCCAGTGCAAATATAGAGTTAAAATGCCAGATAAGAGAGAATGATGACTGTAGTATGGAAAGAATCCTGCTTGAGTAATTACTTTTTTCCCTGAAATGTTAGAAACATTACTACATAAATTAAATGTGGAACATGTCATCAAATCTAAATGATTTATTCAGAAACCAGACCCATTTTAGTGGATTTGTGTGAATGTGATATCAGCCAAGTCTTTTTTTTCCACATTATCCATATAACTGAGGCAAAAAAATCCCCAGATTACACTACTTAATGGAATGCAATCTGGTGTCAGAGCACATAGCAGAATGAACCAACTAGAAGATCAAGGCTATCAAAGCATTTGAAAAAAGAATTATTCAGGGTCAGTCAACACACATTATTACAAGGCAGTTTTCAGTCTTTTTATTATGTTCTTTACTAGAGAATGTACTTTATTTATATTGTATATGTCATTTATTATCTCTTGTGAGCTATTTAATAAAAACAAAAAGGAAAGGAGTCTACTACAGTCCAATAATCTGGAGTCACTGGGTCTCTCACAGTCAATCAAAACCCTCCTTTTGTGACTACAATAAGATAAAAAAACTCATCAAAATTACACATAGGCTTAAAAATATTTTGAATAGGAAAAGGCTGTACTTTACAATCATACAAAAATATATTAATCACAAATCAAAAATGGTTCAAAATTATCATAAAATGTATTTATGAACACTCCCCTTTCCACTTGTGGGTGGATAATACTGTATATGTATGCAAATCTTTGCATTATATAGCTGTATATAAGACCACTGACATATATCTATAAGTGTTACATCAAAATTGTGCAGACCATCAAGTCTAGGCAAAGCAAAAGTCCTGAGACCTCAGTACTCAATTTTTCTTTGGAATGCTATGGTCACAATCTTAAAAAAAATAGCCACCAATAAAAATGCTGTATGTCTCTACATGATTTTAAACCTCAGGGATTGCACAGCTAAGTAAGTCAGTTGAATTAGCATGTGCTGTTTTTTATTCCATAGAGTTTCTTCACAGATAAGCACACTTATTGTATATACATACTGTATACATTCTTCTGATATAGGCTGTATAATGTCAAGCAGAACTGTAAACGTTCGTTGGGCAACAAGGATGGATATATTCGATTTCTTAAATTCGCTCCCAAGCGGCAACCACTCCCCTTTTTTTCCTATCAATACTGTATATACATTCCCCAACAACAGATGCACTCAATTAAATCCTTGAATAGGAAATCTCCATATGAACAGCATGCCAGGTGCAAAAAGCAAGGTGAATATCTAGAGCTGATAAAGCAAAAATGTGTTGAAAGAGTAACTCTACTTATGTGGGAAATTATCTCAAATAAAAAAAAAATAATATAGCATATACAATTCTATAACCAAAGTTGGACTCACATATGCTATTTATAATTTTACTTTGAATTTTATATTGTTTATGGATATAGTATGTTGAGTATATTTCACATTAGTGGAGCGCGACACGTTCATATTGTAATATAAGTTATTAAAAAATGTAATTTCCTTTTCAGTCTAAAGTGCTTTCATTTTCTGTAAAATGCAATGCAATATGGCAACATTCTGTACACAGATGGTTTAGGGAACACCCTCAGAAATTTTAATCTACTTTACACAAAAAATGGAAAGGAAAATTCTTAATTCTTAATTCTTCCTTCCACCAATGCAGACAAAAAAGTATTCCAAAAAATTGATTACTACAATATAGTGTGCATAATAGCAATAATGCACCATTAACAAAAAAAACCAAACGGGGGGCTTAAGCTATTGAGGCTTCCAATTACAAGATCTTACATTCTTTCTGCAGCAGAATTCTGTTAATATCTTCTCCTCTATCACTGAGGAGAGCACAATCAATTACCTAAATGCCTAGTCAAACCCCCACCCTTTCCATGTTTGATCATACAATATTTATGTCATATAGATGTTGATATAATTTTTACATGACCACCTTCTGGGTCTTCCCCAATCAAAAAGAAAAACAAAATCACAAATTAACATATATGCCATTTGGTGGTACTTCCCCGTGAGTCCATGTAGTGGATTTTTTGCGCTTCTCAGAGTAACTCAAAAGGTCCTTTAGGGAGGTGACTCTTCTATATGTAATGTTAGCAAGCTCTGGCACAAATGTCCAAATGCTAAAGTAATTTGTCAAAAAATTCCAATATTTATTATTTATTTTTGCATTTTCCTATATGCACCTGCCCATTAAAAATGATTCTGTTAACACTGCCATTTTGCCTGGTCTTTTTATAAAAAAAAATGTTCCCTCTCTTTTACACTTACTCACATCTTAGAAAGAATGTTTTTATATCCCATCTGTTTGAATCTGTTTTCAAGCCTACAGTTGTGACCAAAATTAATTCAAAATTATTCACCCCCACTGAAATTGAGTGTTTTGGCCAGTTTGACATTGCTTTTGATCATTCAGTCATCATCTTGCTTACATTTACATTAAAGAGGCACTTGTAGGTCAGACACAAAATAACAACATAACAGTTATAATGAAATAACCACAAATGTCTTTTCTGTGCTCACAGCATTATCAGTTTTATTCAACCCCCAAGTGACATTCAATCTTAGTACTTAGTACAGCATCCTTTTACAGTTATAACAGCTTTTAAACGTGAAGCATAGCTTGACACAAGTGTCTTGCAGCGATCTACGGGTATCTTCGCCCATTCTTCTATGGGCAAGAAAGGCCTCCAGTTCAGTCACATTCTTAGGCTTGCGCACTGCAACTGCTTTCTTTATAGTCCCAAAGCACCAGAGGTTCTCAATCGGATTTAAGTCTGGTGACTTCATTGCGATGGCCACTCCAAAATGTTCCAGCCTTTCCTCTGCAACCATGCTCTAGTGGACTTGGAGGTATGCTTGGGATCATTGTCCTGTTGAAAGGTCCAACGTCTCCCAAGCCTCAGGTGTGTGACGGACTGCATCACGTTTCCATCCAATATCTCCTGGTACTGAAGAGAATTCATGGTACCTTGCACAAACGCTGAAGCTTCCCTGTACCTGCAGAAGCAAAACAGCCCCAAAGCATGATTGACCCTCCACCATGCTTCACAGTAGGCAAGGTGTTCTTTTCATCATAGGCCTTGTTCTTCCTCCTCCAAACATAGCGTTGATCCATGGGCCCAAACAGTTCTAATCAGTTTCTAATTTTGTTTTCATCAGTCCACAGAACACTATCCCACAACTTTTGTGTTTTGTCCACATGGCTTTTGGCATACTGCAGTCGACTCTTCTTATTCTTTGAGACAGCAAGGGGTGTACGCCTGGGGAGTTCTGGCACGGAGGCCTTCATTACGCAGTGTGCGTCTTATTGTCTGGGCTGAAACTTCTGTACCCACATCTGACAAATCTTTTCTCAGTTCCTCAGCAGTCACACGGGGACTTCTCTCCACTCTACGCTTCAGGTAGCGCACAGCAGTCGAAGTCAGCATCTTCTTTCTGCCACGACCAGGTAGCGTTTCAACAGTGCCCTTGCCTTGAATTTGCGAATGATGCTTCCTAAGGTGTCTCTTGGTATGTTTAACATCTTTCCATCTTTGCAATCTTCTTATAGCCATTGCCCTTCCTGTGAAGAGAAATCACCTCTTCTCTTGTCTTCCTGGACCATTCTCTTGCCTTCACCATGTTTGTAACCACACCAGTAAATGTCTAGAAGGAGCTGAGTATCACAGTCATTTTAAAGCTGCCTAATTGGTGCTTATTATGCTTGATTGCTGCTCGGTGACATCCACAGGTGTTTTCAATACCTGATGGAAAGCACCTGTATGAACCTCTGTTCTTCAGAGTGGTAGTCTTTAAGGGTTGAATAATTGTGGCAATGAAGAAACCACATAAGAACCATTTACTACTGTATTACATAAACAATTGATGTCATTTTAGTTGCATTTGGGTAGTTACAACGTCCTTGTAGGATTTGATTCTGAATACAATTCCAAATGTACACTATAGTCCCTAAACCCCTTTACAGCATTGGGGGTTGAATAATTTTGGTCACAACTGTACATACCTCAAATTTAAAATTCGAACAGTTCCTATAGCACCTAGGTATTATCCATAGTTATCACTTGAACCAAGGATTTAGGGTGTAAACTTACTGCCTTTCGTGAATTGTTTGAAGTAGATTTTCTGTATAATTGCGTCTTACTCTTTCCTTCTGGGGCAATTTCAGTTTCCAAATCCAGAAACACAAGCTTCTCAGCATCTGTATTTGGTAATTTTTAAGCTTCTATAAGCTATTCCTTAGAACCCCAACTGACCCATGTTGATGGTGGACCTTCTTACAGAACCAAAATGTAGCTGGGCCTGAATTTATGTATTAAGAGATTGTAC